AAAAAATAAATATTTTAATTATATTTATTAAGAATCGCGAATTGGAATAATCGGTTAATGGCTTTAATAATGTATAGTAGTAGACGATACTATGAAGGTAATTCTCGTAATAAATTCAGTGTCCATAGTTTCGTTATATTTCCATAATTTTATTATATGGGTTTCCTAAATTTATTTAAACGTGTTTATATATTTCTGGCATAATATTTGTGTAATATAACATATAATGTTTGCGATAGAACGATATGCCAATATGGGATCCAAATTATTACACAAAGTTAACGCAATGTAACCTTGAAATCATTTTCAAAAGTGACGATGGAGAAACTAGCATCCCACTTATACATGAAAGACTTAGAATTTTGCATCAAGTTGGAGAAGTTTTGTTAAGCAGATATGAAGGTATAAGTAACAACAAAATTGTATACACGCAAAAAAAAAGATTTGTTCCAAAACATATGGTCTATTACAGTATCTCTATTACAGTATCTTTGTTCGTTGTAACATAATTCGTTCAGGACAATTCTTTTTTTTTGAAAGATAGAAAGAAAAATTCTTCAGTAAAATATAATAGATATATTATATCCTTAGAGCTTACATTTACATGTACGCTCATAAAAAATTATTATTATTATATTATTACTATTATAATATTTTCTTATCAGTCGTAATAAAACGTCGCGCAAAATGTGGAAATATTGGAAAAAATTAATAAAAATAAATCTTTTGTATGCAAAGAGATAAATATTATCAATAAAATGATAACACTTTTTTTATTGCAAATTTGATTTATTCTGTAATATGAAATACATCAGATAAATAGCCTGTTAGAAATACCAAATAACAGGAGTTTTGGATGGGTACGCGATGTAAGGACAATCTAAAAAAAATTTAGCAGTTGATAGAGTTGATAAGATGCTGTTGTGTTGCAGGTAGTTTCAAGCGATGTATCCAATTGTGTGAAAACAATCCACTAGTATTGATGACCACAATTGTGAGTGAATTCGAATCATATCAAGATAAGCCAACATACGACTCTAAGGAAGGTAATTATTGTTAGATAATAGTTTGTGCAAAACGTGCATACATGCGTGTAGTGTCGCGCTAAACGCTCCTGTGTGTGTGTGTGTGTGCGCGCGCGCTGTGCGCACACATGTGTGTATATACGTTATATATAAAAGAGTTTTAAATTCAAACAATATTTTAAGATTGTATTTTAAGTTTATGTATATCTTGGAAGGATCGTGTTGAAGTTTGTGTATATATTGAAAGATTTGAAAGAGTAGATTTTTATGGTAATTTAGTAAGTGATTAGTATTTAGAAATTTAGTACTCTTAATTATAAGTATCAACGAAAAATCTGTACCGTATTATAAGACTCAATATAAAAGCGCGAAATTTGTAAAGTATAAATAGAGTAAATTTTCAACAAAAAATCTTGTGTGGATATAACGTTTGTTTTCCATTGATGAATACTATATAGATATAATTTAATCTCTATAATTAATTGATTTAAATACTGTGTATTATGTTTGATAATTAATACTATAATGTCGCTTTATTGAACTTAATTTCAGTTGATCTATACACCAAGGCTCAGACATTAGTAAGCGATATATGGTTTTGTTTTAAGGGACATGAACTCAGTTTTGATTATAATCCAACTTTGATGGAGTCTACTATATTTGCCGATCATCGCATTTCTCAAGTTCTTCTTCATTTTAAAGTTCTTAAATATAGTGAAGAACTTATGGCCAAATTAGAAAACAGTAAGACATTTAATGTTAAATTATTTTTTAAAAAGAGCAAATCTTTCATTTTTATTCGGAATCTTAATTTACGAAATGTACATTTAATGAATGAAAATTAAATGTTTTTTTTATAGACTCAGTGCTTAAAATGCTATAATAAATACAATTAAATATCTTAATAAAATTGGATTATATTTTTACATTATTATTATTGTTGGGGGATTTTATACAGCTGCAAGTTATTTTTCCATTCCTAATCGTCATATCATATATTTTCACATACTAGATAAAATTTTTTTAATATTCTTTGCTTTAATCGACTTCTATATAAAGGATTTGCCGTGTCATAAAGTAAAATACTTGTATTTTCTTGCAGACGAGCCGCTGGAGTATGGGAGCACAGAAGAAATAGAGATACGTAGTTGCTCGCTCTACGCAGTGGAACTGCTGGAAGAAGTAATGTTGCGAACATGTCACGATTTTATGAAGAATAATAATATTAAAAATGAAATTGGTTATAAAATTCTAATCGATAATTTCTTGTGGGATTATCGACATGCACACGATCAGCTACTGATGGAGACACAACCATTTCCAAATATTAAATGTGTGTATTACTAGAACCCCTTTGTATAGCCGTAAATTTACAACTGATTGAGCTAATCACGAAGGATAGTAAATTTCTTTTGTCGTAATAATGTTTTGTTTTGGAGCAATTTTCTTTTTATCTTTTTTTTATAAATATAATATTTTTTACTATTTTTTAAAAGAACATGACATAATTGATTCTAATTTTATTGATTGAGAAATGAACGTTTTAATATATAAATAATTTTTTTTAACATTCTAAACAAAATAAAATTATAGATATAGATATTTTATCAAGATATGCTAAAAAAGAAAAAAATATATTTTTAAAATTAGTATACATATGTATATTAGAGCTTTAGAGAAATAATCGAGAGAAATGCGGCCAAGCATACATTCAGATTAATTATTTCTAATTTATCACGTATAATAGATTGAATATCGGGTTTGCTATAAATATGTCGTAGAGTTCTATTGTTCTTATGTGATATTAAAAATTATTATTAATTACTAGTTTTTTTATTTTTATTATATATATTTTCCCGTAATGTTCCCTTTCTGATAATTTAAATCTCAAAACTCGTGTATAACACAAATAACAATTTCTTTTTCAAAATATATTTGTTTAATTAACATAATAAATAAACATAATTTTTTATGATAATATACACAACTTCCGCAAAATCTTTAATTACATTCAAAATAATTGTTTCTTTTGATTGACAATGCGAAGAATTAAATTCTTTGATTCTTTAAAAATAATGCGATATTTATTTTAGCTGCAGTAATATATTTATAATATATATAATTTTACAAATTTAATATTATATA